TTTAGCTGTGTCTACATCTCTGGTGCTCTTTTTCTCTCTCTATTCACGCACCTCGTTCGACCTCTTCCTGTCGTCACTTTCCAGCCGTGCTCCATTGCCTATAAGTATGCTTTTGAAATGAAATGAGTATGTGCTGTGTTTAGTTTTATTTTTGTTTGTTTGCCGCTCCAAATTTCCAGTAAAAAGTATTTGTGAATGAATTGGCTCGATTTATTTGAGCATGCGTGTGTCTTTTCCGCTCTCGTTTTTTGTACGTTTGCAGCTGAAATTTGGAATACGTTTTATGGATGGCATTGGAAATGCTTGTAAACTTGTTTGTTTGAATATAACGGTAGGTAGAGTAAAATGCGAAGTTGGACCGAGTTTCTCCTTTAATTTGTGTTAGGTGTCGAGAGACGTCTGCAGTTTTATGCCTCCTCTGCGCACTGATGCTTTTAGTTTTTTTTTATGAAAAGCTTTTTCATGGCAAAATCAGGCTCGAAGGTTTGCTATTGTTTGCGCTGGGGCGACCGCTTTAGAATGTTTTTATATATCTCTGACCAGCAGTGGGAATATCGCAAACGCTACGCTAAATTTTCGTCACGAAAATTCTCTAAATGGAATACAGTGGTGTCTAAAAGTATACAACATGAAAAAGTAACAGATTTCATGCGTAATCAGCAGGGCTGCCAAATATAAAAAGCTCGATAAATCACCAAAATATGCTCTTAAATATGCTAAATCAATGAGGTTTTCCCCCAATTCTATGCACTTGACAGATAATCAACCTTGACTGTTTGTCAATGGATTTGCGCCTAAAATTATGNTAATCAGATAATCAACCTTGACTGTTTGTCAATGGATTTGCGCCTAAAATTATGCCGCTAAGTTTTGTCTGTATTTGTTAAATTGGTTGTGCATTTTTAAAGCGCCTAAAATTAAATCTTTGCAATCTTTTTTAAATTGTCAATTGAAAAATGATCTTCTCTGGTCGTTAAAAAATTCAAAAACTCCTTTGCACATCCGTAGATATTTTTTTTTATTATTATTTATTAAGAGAAAAAAATTTAAATAAACTTAATTCTGCTGGGGAGTACTTCGATAGATCTTCATTCTAGTTGCGGAGCCAGTAAATAATATATCTCTAGTATAAGCAAATGTCGTATAGCCAGGGCCTCTGGCCAATATACTTAAAAGGTTTTTTTTTTTTTGTTTTTAATATACGTGTTTGTGTTCACTGCCAGTTGAGTGCTCTTTCACAGTTGTCATAAATTTCCAAACTGTCTTTTAATGTCAAACATTAGGGCTATTCGCGATCCGGTGCAAATGGCCTAGCATCATTGCATTGCAAATTTGTATTGCAAATTATTTGCAATACACAAACAAAATACACGCATTTGCATTTGTCATGGCTTGGCAAATTTGCAATACCGAAAATCCATAGCATAAAAATGCTATGCATTGCATTCATAAACAAAACCAAAGCTGATGCACAAAAATTGTTTTGCAAAAGCTTTGCCATGACAGTTTAATAAAGGTCGCTCACAATCCATGGCATATTTCTGCAATTGCATAAATTTGTCAGCTCTTATACACCGAATCGCGAATAGCCATATTTTGTTTGAAACTTTCTTATACCTACTATCAAACTACCAAATTTGCCTTAATGAGCGCCAAATCTATTCGGATTCTTCATGTATGTATGTATTCTTGCATTGTATCAAGGCGAATTCATACAAGGTGGTAGCAGGATTATAAAAAAACAATGCGCCTTGTTTCACGAATCTATCGTTCCTTTTCCGCCGAAAATGTATGAAACCTTGCCAAATATGCAAAAATAGGCACGCAAGTCGGCAAGTCGAATATATGCAAAAATCAACAAAATTGCAAAAAATATGCAAAATAAGCTTTTTAAAGCATATATTAGGAAAGATTTCGCATAAGGCGATTTGACAGACAAATTTTTTATTGAAAGCAACAATCGCCTGGTGTGAACGGCCTCTCAACTAATCGCTTCCAATGAAGTTGGGAGGTAATCAACTTTTGATTTAACTAATCGTTTCTAAAATCACCTTAGGTAAAATCCCGAAGCTTTTGTCGGAGATAAGATTTGTGAGGCGTGATTCGTGTATTTAATTTAGTTAGGGAAACCTGACCATTCGAACATTCTCGCTTTGTTTCGTTACATATAACGCAATCGATGGTTTCATTTCTAAGGGGAAGGGAATAAATATCGAAAATTACCCGAAATAAAATTATGCAATTGATTGAATCGCCTACACTATCTAATTACATATAAATAAATGAACATTTGGCCCAGGATTCAAATAAATTGATTCACATTCCGCCTCTTTGTAAAGGTGGTTATATACATACCTTTATAAACTTAATTTTTTCAAAAGAATGCTAATCTGTCGAATTCAGGTAATCTCAATTTTATAAGTACTGGCCCCTAAGCGTACGGGAAGTTATATGAAACTTAAAATTCTTAAAATTTTTGGCACCCGACCTATTTTTACTAAATAGAGATTAACCAAGTAAATTGGGGCGTATGCATAAAACCTAAGCAAATGCTTATTCCTAAAATTTCAGACCTTTTACTCAATTTGTTCACATAAATTCAAGTGAACGGTATGAAATTTTAAGAAAAAGCAATTGCTCAGTTTTTATGCAATTTTAACTTAATTTGTATAATACCTGATGAAAAAGAGTTTTTAAAAATATGTGCCACATAACTATAAACAAAATGTATATAGATTTCTAAAACGTTCCACATTTTGCTTATAGTTTTTATATGCAGTTAAGTGGTCAATGTTTTTAGGCTTCGCTTTCGGCATAACCCCTCTATTCTAACAAAACTCACAAAACTCAGCGCATCACTATTGTGATTTCTACTGCGCTTCAAAGTATGCTGCTATGACAAATATGCCGCTACAAAAAAATATGTTTAAATTTGCGTGCATTTCCTTAGCACTTAATATCTAATTTTTGTGGCATATTTTCGAGCGCAGTAGAAATCACAATAATCATGCGCTGAGTTTTGTTACTTTGTTAGAATAGGGGTGTAAACAACCGCAGTGTATTTATAACGAATTAAAAGTTTTACTGTGACGCCTGCAGTTAGCCTACGACAAATACATTATCCAGGATCCACCACGTGGAGGCTGCAGGGCTATATATGGACTTATTTTTTACTTCTTTTCATTTCTTAAATTTTGTATATTTAATTTATTTTTATTTGTGTTTGTATGTATATTTTTTAAGTATTTCTTCTTTGTCTGTAAATTCCACATCGAGGAGTACGTTTACATTCTAGCTTGACTCTAACGGGTTTTGTCGAATCCGTTGCTCTATAAAAAACATCTGACCAGTTCGCAGATCTACTGAATTTTCTGCTGGGTGGAAGTCTGTCATTTTTATAGTCTTTATTTCATTCTTCAGTGCTACTGGCAGAGGACTGTACCTTATTCACTCATGCCGTGTACTAAAATGTTGCGGATTATTTGGATACCATTCGTAGGTTTTGATGTAGATTTCAGCAGCACCGATGGAAAACGCCTTAAAATGGATAATAACATGGTAAACATTCTAAAAAAAATGTTGATGTTTCTGAGCAGTTGCCTATCAAGACCAAAGCACTCTGCAAACAAATCGGGATTCTTTAGTAATCTTATTACTATTTGCCATTGTTTGATAAGAAGCCAACTCAAAAAAGGGGCAGGGAAACGCCCCCGACCCCTCCCCTATAGACGGATCTGCGGGTGCTATTTTGATATGCTTTGCAGAAAACACCCCTACCCCACACCACTGACCATATTTAAATCGGCAATATAGAGAGAGATGGAATTAGCTTTTCTCAAATTTATTTCACGCGTCCTTTTTCGCCGTCAAAACGCCCGAGCGTCTTTATTCGTGTATAGTGACGATATTATTATTATTACGTCGGAGATACCCGCGCTGCGACCTAAGAAAATATACGTATTGTGCTAAATCCTAATTGTAATCCCTCCAAACTTCGGCTATTTAAAAAGCTCAGCACTTTGAATGATGTCATGTTCCCAAGTTTAGATGGTGAAGACAACCATTCTTCAAGGTGAATCAATCTACGATTCATGCTTCTTGTACAGGCACATAGAATGTACTCCGGGGTTTCCTTCACCAGCCCGCAAAACCTACAGTCATTCTCTATAGAAAGACTCATTTAATTCAAACGGTTGCAGTGTGCTGTCAGGTAGCCAATAAGAGTTCTAAGTTCCAGGTGTCTTTCGGAGTTCCTCCTGGAAAGAGTTATGCATCTCATTGATTGTCTTATTCCCTTTGACTTCCGCCAGTGGGCAGCAATTTGAGATTATTCCCAGCTAGCTCCTAAGTGGGTCTGCAGCGTATCCTTTAGAACCAGACCAAAAATTCTTCTCAAATAGTCGTGTACTTATCCCAAAATGCTCCTGAACCGGCCCGGAAACGGTCCCGAACTAGTCCCGAAATGGTCTTGAAATATCCCTGAACTAGTCAAGAAATGTTCATTTATAACACAAGAAGCAATTACCTTATTTTTTTTGCTGGCTTACTAAAATAAAGAGGTGGGATAGCGAGAAAGGATAAGATTCTTGTCATTTCTGTAGAAGAATAGATAATATTGAGTTATATGATAGTTTAGCAGAAGCAAGTTACATAATCGCACAGAATTTGCACTACGGGCGGGATCTAAGAAAAAACAGAACGTCCTCAAATTCGAAATTTCGTCTGTTTTCTCAATAAATATATAATACATTCTACCAATTATATATATTATATATTATTTTATGTTATTCTAAAATATTGTACATATATGCATTGCTATTTTGCACTTTCATAATTTCTTTTCAATTAGCTTCCTTTTCAGCCATGTCTAAACGCAATGGCAGCTAAATAAAACAAAAGCGGACTTGAGCTCGGACAAGGTCAATTCGCAGTCATACAAGAGATCAATACTCCAACTAAATTAAAACATTCCGATTGATATAATAATTTTGTGATTGTACACGTTTCAAGGAACCGCAACCTACTGCAAAAATGATTAACATCGCTGGTGTTGTGAGCATTGTGCTCTTCTATCTGCTAATCCTAATCGTTGGCATATGGGCGGGACGTAAGAAGGCGGCCGGCAATGATTCCGAAGAGGAGGTGATGCTAGCAGGACGTTCCATTGGCCTTTTTGTTGGCATATTCACAATGACCGGTGAGTGGAGTGGGTGACGTTCAAGAGCTTACGGTTAATTAGAATTGGGTTGATGCCTAATGGATGCCTAGCTGCCGTGTGATGAAACAATTACTGATATTGCTATTATGTTTCTTCCTTCCTTCTGCACAGCAACTTGGGTTGGTGGTGGCTATATAAACGGTACAGCGGAAGCTATTTACACGTCGGGACTGGTATGGTGTCAGGCGCCGTTTGGTTATGCTTTAAGCTTAGTTTTCGGTAAGTTCACACAATGCAGATGCAATGTACATATGTACTCTCAATACCTTTGCTTGTGTGTGTGTTAACCTCGCAATTAATTTCCTTTCAGGTGGTATTTTCTTTGCAAACCCCATGCGTAAGCAAGGTTACATCACAATGTTGGATCCGCTACAGGACTCTTTTGGTGAACGCATGGGTGGTTTACTTTTCTTGCCAGCACTTTGTGGTGAGGTATTCTGGGCTGCAGGAATTTTAGCTGCTTTAGGTATGAGTACTCCACAATATAAAAGATTTTACTGTCTTAATTGAACCTAAGCAAATGTTGTATGTACATATTTAATTTTGCAGGCGCCACATTGTCCGTCATCATTGACATGGACCATCGCACTTCGGTGATACTTTCCTCCTGCATTGCTATTTTCTATACGCTTTTCGGTGGCTTGTATTCGGTCGCCTATACCGATGTCATACAATTGTTTTGCATCTTTATTGGACTATGGATGTGCATACCCTTTGCATGGGCCAATGATCATGTGAAAAGTTTGTCTTCGATGGAGGTCGATTGGATCGGTCATGTAGATCCGCAAAAGCAGTGGTTCTACATAGACTATGGCCTGTTGCTGGTCTTTGGCGGTATACCATGGCAGGTGTATTTCCAACGTGTATTATCCAGTAAGACAGCTGGTCGCGCTCAGCTGTTGTCCTATGTTGCGGCGGCAGGTTGCATCCTAATGGCAATTCCACCGGTACTCATTGGCGCTATTGCAAAAGCCACAGGTAAAGACGATGCGGGTTTTTTTTTGCTAATTTTATGTTGTGAGGTTTGAAATTCGGAAGTGGACTGAAACGATTAATTTGAATCGAAATTAATATCATGAGCATATGAGCATGTGGCTGGGAAAACTGTAGTCACATTGGGTAGGTTCAGAAGGCGCAGGAGTTGAGTGCAACCGTTGCTAAAAAATCAGTGATCGCTATGCGTCTTCTGAATATTACGATCATCTGACACGCAACTGTTCAGTTGATCAGAAGTACACAACAACGCGTTCAGAAGGTGCAATCGCAACAGTTACTGAGCTGTTGCGCCTTCTGAACGTGTCCATTTTCATAAAAATTTTCAATTTGTAAACCAATTAAAGTCTTATTTAGTTTATATGAATTTGGGTGTTCAGGCCTTGTACTTCTTTGAGCTATGAAATAGTTGGTCACATTACTCTACTGTCAGATTTGTCTCATTACACTTTGCCTCTGTTACTTTTTTTATTCTGTATGCTCGAGTATCCAAGTACTATTTCCATAAGTACGAAGGGAAACCCTCTGAACGCTGTAGGTACTGGGAGGCGGTGGGGAGCGATTGATACACCAAGCTTTTTGGCTACCCTTTCAATAGATCGGACGTTATTCAATTAAACCAAAATGACATTAGGCTACCCTTCAGGTATCTAATAGGCTACAACCAACTACATACGTTTCCATATATACCGAATAGGTGTTATCGTAGAGTCGGAATCATGGTTGTGCCTAGAGGATAAGGAAACTTTCGAAAGCATTCTATATGACTGTCCAGCCTTGGTCAGACAAAGATAAACTTACTTCAAGGCTCCATCGGTCAAAACCTTGGAATTAACGAATTCGACTACCAATACTCTTTTAGGATTCATTAGGACAGCACACACTTATACGCACACACATACATATCTCATATCTCATTTATCTTTTTACCTTTAGCGTGGAATGAAACCGACTACACTGGCCCCTATCCACTGACTGTCGATCAGACTAGCATGATTCTACCCATGGTATTACAGTATCTCACACCGGACTTTGTATCATTCTTTGGCCTGGGCGCCGTCTCAGCAGCTGTCATGTCTTCGGCTGACTCCTCTGTACTCTCGGCTGCCTCGATGTTTGCACGCAATGTTTACAAGTTGATTTTCCGTCAGAAAGCTTCCGAAATGGAAATTATTTGGGTAATGCGTGTTGCAATTATAATTGTGGGCATACTTGCAACTATAATGGCGCTAACAATTCCCTCCATCTATGGGCTTTGGTAAGTAAATATGTAGTTAATAAAATTGTAATAAGAATTATATGAAATTTAATTTTTTAAGCGCCGCTACTTTCATAATTTAATTGCAGGTCCATGTGCTCCGATTTGGTGTATGTTATATTATTTCCACAGCTTTTGATGGTCGTACATTTCAAGAAACACTGCAACACTTATGGCAGTCTTTCTGCCTACATAGTGGCTCTGCTTATTCGTTTATCGGGCGGTGAGGCATTGCTCGGTCTACCGGCTCTTATACATTTCCCCGGCTATGATGAGGAGTCACAAACTCAGTTATTCCCCTTCCGCACCACGGCCATGATAATGAGTCTGATAACACTGATAGGAGTCTCTTGGTGGACAAAGTAGGCATACAGATTTGAGAGAGGCTCGAAATATTTAATGCAGAAATTTATTTTTATTTTTATTTTAGAATGATTTTCGAATCGGGTAAACTACCACCGAGTTACGACTATTTCCGTTGTGTAGTGAATATTCCTGAAGATGTACAAAGAGTGGGAGAGCCGTCAGAAGCTGGCGAGCAGGTAAGTGTTGAAAGCATTTCGGTCGAGCGTTTCGTTTTCCAATACCAACGAATGACAGCGCGCGCTATACCCAAATCAATGCGGCGTAAATTTTGCAGTTTTCTCATTTCCTCTCGTTTTTATTCTTGTTTCCCCTTTCACTTTGTTGTCCTCTCCCTTTCTTTCCGTCTTCTGCTTCCAACTTCAGCACAAAACGCCCTGTCAAAATGAAAATTTCATTTGCTCAGCGCTTGAAGAAGCCCTGTTGGCTACCTGCACTCGGCAGTCGGCACCCGGCACCCGGCAACTTTTCATGTCGAGGTGTTCGCCTAGCGCTCTGCCCAAGAAGAGTGTGTATGTTACCCTACCATGCCAGAACAGATGGCCTCGAGCAATCAGCTTTATTTGGAAGTACTTCAGGCCTAACGATAAAGAGAAGTCAGACATTACTTGACCACTTTCGATCACACCATATGCAAGTTTAGAGCTCTGATTGTCGCTTTTAGAGTAAAAATTTTTGTAGAAAGTTGAACAAACCTCTTTCAACTCTACAAACTTGGACCCAGCCGTGAATATGTTTACTGAACTTCTCTGTTCCAGAAACTGCCACACTCCTATTCACTCTTTAAAGGGAGGTGCGTAGAATATATTCCAGTTGGAGCCTGCATGGGTTTGCACGTTCCATTTCTTCAGATGTGAAGTGGAACTTTGCAAAGACGGTTAAGCGCCTATACTCCGGGTAAAAGGAGAACCCAGGGCTTCTTTGCCCAATGGCTGGGCAGGAGCTACTCTAAGCAAGACGTCATGCGCTAGAATAGTTATGCGCCGGTGCGTGCCGCTGATTACAACAAGGCCAGGTCTTTGCACGCGCTTTAACTTTTTAACTAATGTAGACTTTTTTACGTTCTGATTATGGTGTCAAAGAGACAATAGATTACCGTTGTAGGGACGCTCAACCTCTTCCCAATGGCATTTGCTCGGTCGTCAATATTTGCTTGCTGAAATAATTTCCTGCCTACGCCAAAATACTTGATACTATCAGAGAGCACAAGTGAAAGGCCATCCATGAAGGAAAACGAGCATCAAACAATTTGTATTCACCTGATGAACTCTATACCAACTTTGAACGTTGTTTCGTCAGTTTTTAAAACATTTAAAGCATGAAATCATCCGTAGAAGGAGACGTTTACATCCAGTATACTCTTTGTGGTTTTATTTCCCATTTTTCGTCTATAGTCATTTTATAGGCACACAGGGCGGTATTGGCCTTCCTGGAGCGGTCTTAGGGGGTTCGCTTCCAGTAAAGCTTCCTGTAAAGCTTCCTGGATAGAATGACTCCAAAATATTTGATCTCCATTTAGGGTGTGGGGTTTGATTAGATGAACTTTATATCTCCTCATGAATAATACTATGTCGATCTTAGTAGGACAGACGCTAAGCCCATATTCATTAGACTAAATGTTTACAAGACTATTAGCATTTTATAATAACTCACTAAGGACCTGCAGATGCTTGTCCGTCCCTACGATTATAATGTCATCAGCATACGCGATGACTTGGCAACTAGTGTCATTTAGCAGACTGGAGGGGAGAGAACACCTCCTTGGGGAGTGCTTGTGGTCACGTTTTTAGTTATGAAACCGTTTTTTAGTCCTGAAATAATAGAACTCTTTTCGAGAAGGAGGCCAACAAAATACCCCAGTCGCCGTTGCACCTCCAGCTCCTTTCCAACCATAAATACTTATGGATTTTTCAAATATCTCGGCACCTCGCCACCTGGTTTGTAAATTTTGATTACACACAGGTATTATACTTAAAAAGCTTGTAATGAATATTTATAAATTTAATACGCGATAAAATAATATCCAATAAATAGATAATTCATATAAAATATTCCATACTTAATTCAGCTTTCTGTTATGGCTGGTCCATTGGCACGTTCCTATGGTGCCGCCACTATGGCCGGCAAAGATGAGCGTAACGGTCGCATTAATCCGGCGCTAGAGTCCGACGATGACCTGCCCGTTGCCGAGGCTAAACGTATGAATCAGCAGACAGCGCAGGCGCAAGTGCAGAAGATGTTGAGCAAAGCGACGGGTAAAGGTGGCAGCGGCAGTGACAGCAGCAGTGGGGGAGGTGGTAGCGGTGGTGGCGGTGGTGGCGGTGGTGGCGGCGGTGGCGGCGGTGGCGGCGGTGGCGTCGGACAAGGTATGGCTGTGCCAACTGCTGAGCATGATAATACTGCCTTTTAAGCACATGCAAACTAACAAACACACACACACATACATACATAAAAATTAGGCAAACTCAAAATTATAATTATGCAATACATGTTTATGTAGTAAGTAAAATGTTGTAAAAGTAATTTAAAATTCGAAAACTCTCATAATTGAGTTTAAGTTTAAACACAGAAACATGTATGAAAATTAAGAATATTAGAGAAATTGCTACGGGTAACCAACTACAACAACATACATACATATGCTACAGACATTAACATCTCTGCACACATATCCATACAAATGTAATAAACTTAAAGGAATGCTCGCCAAGCAGTTGGATAAGTATCTATGTAGAACTAAAGGCAATTATGTAATTATGCTTATGAAAAAATACATATCAACGCATGAAGAAGTATGCAAACAAACCAACAGAGAAACTAAATTTAATATACATATATGTACATACATACGTATACTGTGTATGGTTAAAAACTATTTTTGTCTAGTGTTACCAGTGTTGCATATTTGTTTTTTAGTTTTATGTGCTTTTCAGCAAACAAAAATTAAGCAAAAATAAAAACAACTATTGTAATAACTTTTAAAGTAAACTATTTAATGTTGAACACTAAATTTAAAAATAGCATTAAGTTACGGAAAAGTCTAAATAAAACGAAAGTTAAATCTATCTACGTTCAAACTACATACATATGCGCTTGCTTGCAACAACTTTTTCTTTTTTTTTTAGTTGATGCGAGTAATCTTGCGCATAAACACACACGCACTAGTTGCACTTGTTATTGTTGGCTTAAATTATGAAACACTTTTTGGTAAATATCTACTACGTACATATGTGCATTAGGGTGGTCGAAAAATGCAGGTGAAAAAGTAAAGCCGAAATTGTTATGCTCTCACCCCCTAGGATAGTTCTATACCGAAAAAAATATACCTATATTTTTTTATTTTGAAAAAAAAATTAATAAATATTTTTCTATCGGAAAACTCTGTTTATCTGCAGAAAATTGCCAGTAAAATACCCAATTATTTATTTAACCATTTTTTCATCGCAACTATAATATATAGGTGCCCAAAAACCCCCGAAAAATGCAAAAGGGCGACCGATAAAAAATCGTTAGTACTAAATAGTGGTTGAATAAATAATTGGGTATTATTATTGAAAGTCTTCTGAAGAGAACCACAGTTTTCCGATCGAAAAATATTGATTTCAGGAATTCTATACCATTTCTACGAAAAGTTATTTTTTCCCCCATATAAAAAACTGGAAAACTTTGAGAGCGTTGAGCGACCTCTAAATATTTTTTGATTTCAAAATAAAAAATAGGGGTGCACTTTTTTCGATATAGAACAATCCCAGGGGGTGAGAGCCTTACAATTTCGACTTTACTGTTTTTGGACCACCCTAATGTACATGCATACATACATACATATGTACTTAAACTACTAACTATACTTTTTCGTGTGTGCTGCTTTATTGAGTGTAACAAAGTAGAGGGAATTGTTGTGAAGGATATTCTAAGTTCTCAGGTGTTGTCTATACAAACATACTTACATACTTATGAAAATTAGTTGTTATTATATGAAATACATGATCTTTGTTGCACTAGCTTAACTATTATATATGCATGTATATACATATCTACATGTACATATTTTAAAATTAAATTTCACATCTATGTCAGCTGTTACTTACATTGCTCTAAAAAGTGGAAAATATCTTCAATATGTTACTAAAATTGTAATCAAATTTTATTTGATCTCAAAATAGAGTCAAACATACATACCATATGTACATAAATACTTAGTTTATGCATCAATTCATGCAGAGGTTTTAAAAACGAAAGTTAGAATAATAGAAATTCATATAAACATACATGTCAGTAAACACATGTTTGTATGTAAATTATAATTAATATCAATGTAGCTCATAATAGCCTAGGGATAGCAAAATTTGTAAACACTTAGCTTGATTAAAGATATTATGGAATGAGTTTGAAACAAAAATTTAAAAATCATAAGTAGTATACGTGTTTCTTTAAAGTTTATCAGGAATTCAAAATTTGCATACTTGGAAGAATTAAAATTTTCAAAACACAAGCAATCTATTTGCCAAATCTCCTCCTTGTAGGACTGTCAAGACCAGTGTGGCCGCGGGCTTGTGAAAAATTTATTTATTATTTATTATTATTTATCAATTTTAGGTATCAAAGTACCAATATGGAATAAAACCAATAATTCGAAAACATTATGCTTTCCACCATTGGCAAAGTGAAGCGATTTTTTCTATTTATTTTGATCAAATTTAGATCAGAAGAAATGATATCAACGTTTTAATTTTAGTATTTTTTTTTTTAATTTGATCACCATATTGGATCCGCCATTTTGAATCAAAAAAAAAAAACTTCAAAATTTATAAATTTATAAATTTATAGTCAGTGACCTCAAAAACTACCGAGTGCCCGGTTTCGAACAAATCCAATCATTTTTTAAACAATTTATGGCCATTTTGATCTGTCATTTTGAATTTTGAAAAATTGACTTCGGATTCCTAATTAGCAACCCCAAAAACCCCCTGGTAACAATTTCCAATCCATGATAATGCGTAAATCTAAAAAAACTTTTTTTTTAGATAAAAAATACGTGTGTCTTTTTTTTATCACAAATAATAATAATTAAATATTCTGCTTGTTACCGAACATTTTGACACCGGAAAATTTTGTTACCAAATAATAACATCACTTCTTGTAACCGCAATTCTAACCACCGGTTTCACCAACTCTAGTTAACACTAATCCCTAGTTAAACATGGTTAAAAGGTGTTCGCACGAAGCGATTTTGCGTTCAACTCCCCCAGGGTTGCACGAAAAAAAAGTTGAATGACTAAATGTTGGCTGGCGACCAACTTTGTTGAAAGCGATTAGTTGATAGGCCGTTCAAGCAAAAGTAGAATGCAAAGTTTGATCAATGCAAATGCCTTATTATGGCGCATATTTCGATATATTTTTTATATTTTAATATTTTTAGCCATTGAATTTTTTTCGAGTCGAGGTTAAGATTTTTTAAATTAAATCAATTTAACAGCCGGTTGCACTAGCAATTTAAATGGAAAATGAATTTCTATCTTCTGTCGATTTCCATATAAAATTCAAAAAATTAAAATAATTTTTCACTTAAATTGCTTTCGTGAAATTGCCTATAGGTCACTATAATTATTTCAATTTAAATATGTACATATAAATAACAAATTTGAAAATCTAATTCAATTGCAGAAAAAATATACATAACAGAAAAAATGACATAAAAGGTGTATTAACCCATGTTAGGTGGCATCGATATTTAAAGTCTGCGATTTTGTAGGACGTTGTAGCTAGTATTTGTAATCTATTTGCAACAATAAATTTTTTTTCGATAATTTATCGCTTGGACTCGATATGTATCCGTATGTATATTATGCAAATAGTTGGCAAAAATTACTAATTTTGATAGACTTTTAATTTATAAATTCCCGTTAAGCGAATAAACTATTTCTTGGAAAATACTATCAGGACTGACGTGTGTAGCTAAAAGGAAATTTAAAACGAGTTCAGCGTGCTTTGGTGAATAGATAAGCGTTATTTTCTACAACAATAATACTTAAAAAATTGTTACCTTTTCGTCTATTTGAGTAGTTTATGTTTTATTTTATCCTGATAAAATATTTCAGTTTGAAATCGAGTTGACGATTAATTGCAAAAGTTAGGATTTTAAAATATGGCGCAACAACTTTGGGTTAAGTGGTTAGAATAAATGTATTTTTTTTTTAAAGAATTTTAAGTATTTATTCCTTAAAAGCTTTTCCTAAGATGTGTGAGTGTGAATAATGTTTACACATTTTATAGCGTCCAAATGTTACAAAGTTCAAAGCAATCATTTTTATTGTTAAATTATCAGCAAATTATTAATGCATTGCGACTATAAACTCTGTCATCTGTCCTTCCATTATATGTATATGTCTGTATGTATTCTTTTGAAACGCTTTACCGTAGCTCAACAAAAGCACCAAAAAATATAAAAAGGAATTAAAGAACAACCTATCAATTTAGTAGAAAAATGACTTAACAAAAGTAAAGAAAATTGCTAAGTGTGCAAATGTGTGTATGTGCGTAAATGTAAAGGTAAATGTGTTAGTAAATTCATATAGAAAAAATACTACATAAATACCTAATTATCTATTAAACGAATACATATCATGAAGCTGAAAAGCTTAGACAAATGTTTATAGCGACAGTAAGTCCAGAGAAAATATACTACGTATTTTATCTACAAAATTGCAAACGAATACATATCATTTTGATGTAACTGGTTAGAAGAAAATTAAATTTTAAATCCATGCTATACATACATATTATATACGAGAACACTTCATATTAACATACAAACTAACATGCGGTCCTACGGATACAGTATAACTAATGTTTCATGCAAGTAAACTAAATCAAAAAAAAAAATTAAATAAATAAAAAATAATAATAAAAGCGGATTTATATTGCAATAGTGAATATTAAAGGCTGAAGTAGGAATGTGCGTTTGCAAAAGAAACAAACTAAAACAAAATGAAATAGAATAAAATAGCCAAACACTAAGCGAGCGCACGGACGAGCAATACTTAGTTAAAATCATTCAAAATGCATAAATATCTAAAAAAAAATTAACCCTCCGTTTTGTGATGTGGCCTACGCAGGCCATTTCGATTTACAAAGGTGTATATCTTATTTCTTTGTTAAGTCTTTTATAAGCGGCGACAATATACCATACCCGTCGACGAACTAAGAGTACATATGTGAATTCTAAAACCATTGCCGGCAAACGGATAAGGAAAAAACATCGTTTTTACACAAAAATTTCATAAAAATATTCTAAGTATGCAGTTTTACAGCCCATTCAATT